CCCCTGGGACACCGGGGCAGCTCAGCCCCATCCCCAGCTGCTAGGCAGGGCACAATGTCCCTTGCGCACCCCATCGTCACCCCACATGTCACCCACAGTGCTGAGGTACCCCTGGGGTCACCTCCCTGCCATGCACCATGGGGTAAGTCAGGCTCTGGGGGGATGCAGCCACATGGAGCCATGTGGGGTGCTGGGAATGTCACACCCCGTGCCGTGGGGACAGCCATGGTGGCATTTGCCGGGCTGAGGGGCCCACAACGCCCTGGGCAGGAGGTGGCTGCCGGAGGAACTCACACAGCAGCCAGGCAGTGGGAAGAGGAAGCAGCAGGAGCACGGTGTGGGCTGGGGGGAGGAAGAGGATGGTGCTGTGGCCAGCAAGAGGCCACAGGACTGGCAGGACCTGGTGCCCTGGGGATGGTGACAGCTGGGAGGGTCAGGCAGGGAGGACAGCAGGGCTGCAGCCCCCTGGCTGTCCTGGATTCCTCCGTGCCTTGTCCCACACTGACACCCTGCATTGCTCCGTGCAGACCTGGCTCCTGCTCCCTGGGAAGAGGAACCGAGAGGGCTGCACAGCCCAGCCTGGTGCCACCGAGGTTCCTCTGTCCCTCTGTGATCTGGAGCTCCCTGGGCCCAGCAGGAAAACCTGGGCATGAGGCAGCTGCAGCACAGAAGGGGAAGGTGGACACTGGGACACAGGACCTGGAGCTGTGTCACCGTCCCATGCCCAGGACCCCACAGACCTGGGGAGGGGTCAGGAGCCCACATCTGCTCCTTGTTCCAGCTCTGTGGCTGGTGGTGGCGTGTCCCTGCCCCTTCCCCACTGCTCCCAGGCCCAAGGCCACCCTGATTATACCTGGAGAGGAACCCTGCTCCAGTTCCAGCCCTCCCAGTTCACCCGGTGCCTGGTGAGCCCCCTGTGGCTCCCAGTGGGAGCAGGCTCCTCCAGAACAAGGGGTGCACGGAGGGATGGCCCCCATCCCCTGCATGCCCACAAGCAGGGCTATTCCCTAGGATGAAAATTGAAGAACTTGCCATCCCCCAAAGTGATCTTCTCTGCAAGGCCACCTGTCACCCACAGGACCCACGGCAGAGGGGTCCCCTGCCCCCCTCCCTGGCTCAAGATGCTCAGTGGAGAGGGAGCCCCCCTTGTCCAGGCTTCCAGCCCCATCGCTGGCTGGGAAAGCAGGATTTCCGCTGGAAGAAGAGCAATTCCCGGATCCAAGGGGCTGCAGGGGCGGAGGGAGGGAGCCGGCCAGGGCTCCAAATACAATGTCCCGGGAGGAGCGGGGTGGGGAGGGAATTGTGCAGGGCAGGAAGCAGCGAGTTCCTGTCCCTCCTTGGGACACACCAAGGATCAGGGACGAAGCGGAGCTGCAGGGACCGGGGAGAGCATCCGCCCCGGCCAGGGCCTGAGCCCCTGCAGCTCCCCCAGCCTCAGCCACGAGAGCTCAGCCTGCAATAAAGCGCTGGCTGGGCTGGGAGCCCACGGGCACCTGCGGGCACGGAGGGCACAGGTGTGTGTGTGTGTCCTGTCCCCTCCCCAGCCTGCGGGTCCCGCACGGTGAGGGCTCCATGTGCTCCGCAGGCTCCCCGACGTGGTGTTAATCCCAGTTAGTGCCGGGATGGTGAGCTGGAGCTGGTGGGTGCCCCGGACCTTCACACACACCCCGCAGCCCCCAGACCTTCACACACTGACCTGCTGCCCTCGGTATGGTGAGCTGGTGCTGGTGGGTGCCCCGGACCTTCACACACGCCCCGCAGCCCCCGCTNACTGCTGCAGGAGGGCTGTGCTGCCCGGGGGACCCCACGATGTCCCCCGGCACCCGTGGGTGCTCCACGGCAGCCCCACTCACTGCGACGGCTCCTCTGGTCACTCCAGCTGCTCCATGGCACTCCAGGGAGGAGAAGAGTCGCCTGGGGACACCAGGGAGGGCATCAGGTGGGGGCAGCACCCTTGCAGGGGTTCAAACACCCTTGCCATGGGCTGTAACACCCCTCCATGGGATAAAATCCCCCTGTACAGGCTGCAACACCTCTGCACGGGCTGAAGCACCTCTTCCAGGGCTGCTGCGCCCCTGCACACGCTGAAACACTTCTACCAAGGGCTAAAATACCCCTGAAAAATTGAAACACCCCATGACAGGATGCAACACCCTTGCTATGGGCTACAACACCTCTACACGGGGTGCAACACCAACGGCGCTGGCTGCAACACCCCTTGCATGGCTGTAACACCCCTGCCTGAGTTACCACACCCTGCACAGACCGAAGCACCGTGCACAGGCTGTGATACCCCTGCACGAGCCACAACACCCCTGCATGGGCTACAACAGCCCTTCACAGGCTGCAACCCCCCTGCATGAGCTAAAATGATCTGCATGATGTGCAACACCCCCACAAAGCTGCAGCATTCGTCCGAGGGCTGCAACACCCCGGTGTGGGCTGAAACCACATCCTCCAGTGGGTTTTTCTCTCACTGCGTCCTCACCACACTGCTCACGTCCTTTCAGGCCATGTGTGTCCCAAGGCTGAAGGGGAGCCAGACCCCAAAGCGTCCCCATCCCCACAGCCTCTGCTTGGTGGGTGTGGGTGTTTTGGGGAGCGAGGTCCCCGCTTGCATCGCTGTGGTCAGCGCAGGCTCTTCCGGCCACATGTGGTGAGAGAGAAGGTGTCACAGAGGAGGAGGAGGGGGAAATCAGACCTCTCCTGTCATGGCTGTATGGAGACGCCCATGCCCAGCCCTGTTATTGCCCTGGCTGCTGGACAACCACCCACACCAGTCTGCAGCATGGCTCTGTCTCCAGCTGAGAGCAGAGGGAAGCAGCAGGAGGGTGTCCTGCCCTCTGCACTCCAGGAGCAGGAGGAGACAAAGGTTTGGGGTGGATGAGATGTTTCAGGCAGGTTTTCTCAATCATGGTTATTGATTCCCTTTCTTCTCTCTCAGTAGGGGTGGAAAGAGCCCAGCTCTCCCCTTCCATCTCTGCTTTCCACACTGGTGGTGTGGCAAGGCTGCAGCCATTGCCAACAGGGCACCGTTGCCAAATCTGAGGAAACTCGGCTGGTTGGGGGTTTTATTCCTGATAATTAGTGGCTATTTAAACTGATGAACAACCGTGGTTCTCACAAACCCGGTCCCCCCTGGGTGGGAATCATCCCCCCACCACATTCAGAAACTTCCCATTTTGCTGAATTTCAGCGCTGACCAAGCAGTGGAGCTGCCACAGGTGCCAGCAGGGACAGGGATGGCAAGGAGCACCTTCCAGGCAAGTGGAACCCCCGTGTGCCCCATGGAGGGTTTAGGTGATGTGCAGCAGCATGGCACCCAGGCTTCCTCTTCCCTGCACACCCAAGAGCCCCCGAGCTCACCCCGGGGCGGCTCCATCCCCTCGCTGCCCACGGGCAGCCTTCAGCCACC